TTAATATAAAATAATTTTAAAATAAATAAAAATAAATAAAAAATAATTTTATTAAAATAATAAAATTTAATAAAAGTTAATTATTTAACATATTTAAAAATTATTTATATAAAAGGTATATATAATTAATTTATATTCATTCAAAAACAAGTACAAAAATACATACAAAATTTTTTAATTATTTAATCAGATAATAAAAAATCATTATTATTAATTAATATGGTATTAACAAATATTATATGCATATTTTAATTGTATTGCAAATATTAAAAATTAAGCCTTATATACATAACAAAAGCAACTTCATTGTAGAAAACAATTGTTGACAATGATTAATGACAGTTTGAAAAATTGATAATGATTACACAAAGACATATAATAAAAGAAAAAAAAAAATATTAAAGTTATAGAAATTTAAATAAATGTATTAAAATTATATGAAAAATTGAATTTCTAACTTGTAAACCACATACTTTTATAAATAGAATTTAAAAAAGGCGTAAAATACATTAAAATTAAAAAAAATATAATTGATATAATTTTAAAAAACGCATTAATAATGTAATGTAATTAAAATAATGATATAATAATGAAATAATATTGTTTTAATAAAATAATTTATTCAAAAATATATATATATAAATTTATTTATATGTTTGTTATAGAAAATATAATTTTTTATAACAAACATATACTAATGTCTCATACAAAATCAATAAACATAAGATTTTAAATATATTTCTTAATAAAATTTATGTGATTTGTAAGTTATTCATAAAAGCTTTAATTAGCATTAAAAAATAGTATTTCAATAAATCGTTAAGTTTGTATTATTATTATTATTATTACTATTATTATTATGTAACAAATTAATTTTATTATCAAAAAAATATTAATATTATGCAATATTTAATTAATATTTATTTGTATTAATAAGCAACATTAAGAAAATTATGTTAAAATATTATTAAGATTATTAAAGTGTAATATATAAATATTTTATTATAGAAAGTATATTACAATGAGAATTTATATCATTATAAAAAACTGATTGAGAGATTTATGCTTTATTGAAAATTTGCTACACTAATTATAGTATTTTGTACTAACCCGATGTTCTTGTGCATCTAGTTGTTTTATGGTCAAACCAATAGAATCCTGAGCACCATAAAAATGTCACCGGATAGCCACCAACAACCATATCACAACATAAATGATTCGAACTTTATTAGCTTTATTATTAATACTTAATTAGTAGGTATTAATGTTTACATTTACCATCACCATATTGAAAATGCTATATGCATTTAATAACACATCTATATGAACCTATAAGAATCTATTAAATAAAAATAATTAATAAATTCTGCATATAATTCAATATAATATTTACCAATTATTATGTATTTGATATTCTTAAATAATTAAGTAAAAAAGAAAATAAGATGAAATAATTAAAATTATCATGTATAAAATTCAAAAAGAAGTTATGTCAATGCTTATTATATAATATTATGTATAACATGTATTATTATATAACATTATTAAGTAATACATATAACATTAAAAAAAATTAATTTATGAAATAGAAAATATTGTATTTATATAATTTATGTATTATGTATTTTGTTTAATAATTACAATCTACTAACCATATTATGAATGTTTTTAAATAAACATGATGTAAATACCTTCTTTCACCACATATACATGTAAAATGACAAAAACATTACAATTTATTGTAAGTAAAATTATTTGATAATTTTCAGTTATAATTATAAAATAAGTATATATATTTAAATTTAATGTTACATATAATTTATATATCATGTATAAAATAATAAAAGCACTTTATATAAATTAAAATATAAGCAAATATTTTTGTCACAAAAAAATTATAAGTAATATATATATATTGTACTCACCTGTAACAAAGCTGGCCCCATCACAGGTAATAAAAAACCATGATATAAAAATTCTAATAACTGTTTTTGTACTAAAGGATGTGCAACTTGTGCGACAGCATTACAAAAATCCAAAGAATTCATTAAGTGCATTAATGCTGGCAAATCGTTAACATCATCCGGTGTTAACTGATACCAATCATCTGTTTCAATATCTAATTTTCTTGGCAACAATGAATATAGCCCACTTAAACCTGTAGCTAATACCTAATTATTAAGAATAAGATTTTATTAATAATTTAAGTATATAAAAATATAAATGAATACATATATAATAATTGTATATTATGTTTATGTAAATATTTATTTAATTATTATTATATTCTTTTTTATATAATTAATTTTTTAAAAAATTACATACAGGACATATATTAGAATGATCAGCAATAAATACACCAACATCATCATTTTTTTTAGAAAGAGACATACAAAGTAACATGGAATCGCGTGCTTGTTGTCCTACTGCACCTTCTCGATGTACATATGGTATCAGTAATGTAAAAATAATAAACCTGAAAAAATTTAAAAAAGAATTCAATTATTATACAATATATAAATATATAATTCAGATAAAGTGTCACAAACTTTTGTTTCAAAACACAAATATTAATGATTTTCATTCATTTCAAAATTGATTTCATTAAACTTCATTTCATTTAAATTAAATAATTCAAAAAATTATTTAAATTGTAATAAATTTTTGAAAAAAAGAAATGAAATATGTTCTTTGAGATTAAAAAATTTTTATAAATAAAAGAAGATAAAAGAAATATTCTTGATAATAAAAATGATTAATAGCTATGAATTATTTAATTTATAATACTTTATATAGTTTATTTTATATAAGATATAACATATGAATATACGTATATATACATATATTTTACTAACTTGTTTTTTCCTACTGCTGTTGCATGAAAAAATAAATCAAGTAATGCCATATTTTGCATTAAAGCAACACATAATTGATTTAATAACACTACTAATTTTTCTTCTAATAGTATAATATCATTTGCACAATCTTCAAGTAATCGTAGCAATGGTCTGGCAACTGGTTCATGGGCAAGAAGAGTACCACTATGTGATACTAAAAGTTCATATAATTTTAATTGTTCCAAACAAATAGCATTACTAAATCTGCAACATTTTTTTTTATAATAATATGATATGAAATAAATATTATCCAATAATATTTAATAATTAATTATTGGTATATAAGATTAAATCTTAAATTTATTGTTATTATTGTTTTAAAAAAAATTTCTACCTTCCATTATGTTTATTCCAATCATAAAGCTTAACAAGAAGGTTTTCACTTAATAAATATTCTAAACAAGGAGAGTGTGTTGCTGTTGTAGATTGTCGATAATTATTGTAAAAGTTAAAATCACGTAATTCTAAAACTAAAAGTGTTGCCATCTGATCTACGTGATTAATAACTCCAAGAACATCATCTTGATTACATATTCCTTTAGGTGGCTATGAAAAGATAATTAAATATAATTAAATAGAATATTAATTGAAATTTTTTATATTTCTATGTTATTTTTAAAATTGTTTTTAATAATATTTAAACATGTTAAGTTTTAAGAAAGTTTTAAAAATTTTTTAATTTTTTTTAAAAATTAAACTTACAGATGTTCGTAATATGATTTCATATGCTTGTTGCCAATGTTTACAAAAACTGTCATAACATGCTGATGGATCAGCGTCTTTTGGCGGAGAGTCTCTTGAACGTTGCTTACTAAAACTAGTTCTTAAGGGACTACTTCGTAACCAGCTCATTTTTACAGGTTATATTTTATTTATTTTTATATTTATCACAAACTTCTAAATTTACGCATTCTTTTTTTTTGAAATCTTTCATATTATTAATAATCGTAAAAATAAAATATTTTTTTTCTTTCTCGGTTTTAACTAACCAAGTATATATTCCTGTCAAAAATGTCCTACTTATTGAAATAATCGTCCATCTATGCAGCAAGGACACAGTGATAACACAAATTGTATATTTATTAAGCGACTTGCGCATTACGAATAGTTTAATTAATATGTATAAATATATATCAAATACTTTATATATTTGAACCAACAACTAGTCACTTGTATTGTCATATCAATCCATCATGAAAACGCCATATTTATTTAGTTAAGATTTAGAAATTAATTCTGATCTTTTCTTTTTTATATTTTTTCAATTCCATTTGAAATGTGTTTATACTTTGCAATAGTCAATTTGGCTATTGTATTAATTTCAATGATTTTAATTCTAACTAAAAAAATATAATATTCATTATCTATTTTCAATCACAATTATAATTTTTGTGTTAAAATGTCATAAAATAATAGTGGATTTATTTGATATACATATATGTGTACATCATATAATAGTTACAATATATTTATAAGTTTAAAATAAAATGATATATTTTAATTGAAAATTTAAATCAAATATAATGTGATATATTAATTTCAATATATTCATCATAAATTATAATATAAAATGACATATCAATTTAATCTTTTAAATTTTTATGAATTTTAAGTGATAAATGTAATGAAAATATAAATATATTATCCATAATATATATTATATAAATATATTAAATATAAAATATAAAAAATTGTATATTTAATAATATATTTTATAATTATAATTTATAAACAATAAGATATAAAAATAAGAGAACATACTAGGGATTTTTATTAAAATTATTATATAATCTGATAGTTCTATTGAATAGTTCCATTTAAAGAAATATTTTATAAATATATTTTTAACTGAAAAGAAATATTTAATATGAGATTTTTTAAAAATTATACTTCATTTTATTATACATGCTATTTTATAATTTCAAAAACTTCAGTTTTAAAATTTATATAATTTTTAATTATATACAATATTTATATAAGTTCAATTGTATAAGATTAAAATTGAAAAATGAATAAAATAATAAAATTAGTTAATTAATTATTCAATTATTGATAAATATTAACTATTCTTAATAGTTAAAATACAACTAAAACTTTACTTTACTGACTTAACTTTAATCTAAGACATATACTTAACCTTAATTTTTAAGAATATAATACATCATTTTCAGTACATTTAAATATCATTTACAAACATTAATAATGTTACGATTATTAGGAATACGATTTATATTTAGGATAAATAAATCATTTTTAATCAAAAATGAAAATAAAGAAATTCAATTTGTTCAAAATAATTTTTTATGGTATCAAAAAATCAATTTTAGTTCAAATAATGTGAATGATTTAGAAGAAAAAACCGAAGAAAAGAAAAAAAAGACTCCTAGAATTCCTAAAATTACACTTATACATCCAAACAACTCTATAACTGTTACTTTATTAGAAGATGCAGAAAAATTAGCTGACCGTCGAAATCTCCAATTAGTACATGTGAGTGATAAATCTAAAAACAGCAAAAGTATTTATAAACTTGTAGATTATCCAACAATTAAAGAAAAAAGAAGAAAAAGAAGAAAAATAATGATAAAAAAAAAAATAATAATTATAAAAAAAACTAAAAATCTACTAAATTGTTCACCATAAAGAATGATATAATGGATTATGATTTAAATATAAAAATCAATAATGTTAATAAAGTATTAAAGAAAAATCATAAAGTTAAAATATTTTTTATTCATCCTAATGGAATACGGGTAAAAAAATGAACTTTAATTATTAACAATTTTATTTATAATATTTATTAGAAATATTAATTGATATTGTTTGATTCTTATAAATAATATTCTTTAATAAATCAAATATATAATATAATTTATTTTATAGGATGGGATAATTGAAAGTGTAAAAAGCAAAATACAAGGAATTATTTTAGAACAAAATACAAAAAAAAGTAATACTATACTTATATATTCTCCATCAAATGATGAGAATAATTCTTCAAATATATAGTATATGTATTAATAATAGTATTTGATATATCTTAAAATAATAAAATATGTAAAATATAATTAACAAATATAATAGAATCACATTATAATTTTATAAAATAATGAATTAATATG